GAAAGGCTACCACATGCCAGGCATTTTATCCACATTATCTAATTTAACCTCTGGACAAATCTTCCAAATAGGTTTTATTTTCCTCCTCTCACAAATGAGTAAGGTGAGGCTCAGAGAGGTTAAGTCGTTTGTCCGAGATCACACAGCTAGGAGGTGAGAGAATTACATTCCTACCCAGGCAGTCTAATGCCCGAGCCTGTTCTGGGAACTGATCCAGTATCCCAAAGCTATTGGAAGGAAGCAGAGAGGGAGCATGGCTAACCAACACACGTGTTGGCAGGGCCAGCATGACGATGGTGGTAGAGACAAGGCTGGCGGGAGTAGGAGGCTTCCTGGAGGTGATCTCTGAAGTCAGTCTTGAGGGTTGAGTGGGATTTAGTAAAATATCAGCACAGTAATTTCATTGTATGAATTGATTTGGCATAAAATTATATATTTGGTCAATTTAAGTTGTAGCTGCTTAGAAATGGTCAATTTACCTGCTATAAAGTATAACATAAAATCAGAACCTCCTTCCTCTTGCTCAGACAGCTACCAGTGGCTACTCTGGAATTTTCCAATCAGATGTGCATGCGTGTCATTCCCTTGTGTTGTTGGCGGTCTATATAGCTTGCAGGGAAGCAGGGGCAGACCCTCCAGTGTTTACAGAAAGTGTATACCCAGAAGCATAACACCGGGGGACATTCCCTTTGTTTAATTTCATCTGCGGATGAAACCCTCACCCCTTACTTGTTCCACAAGTGCTGAGAAAGGCCTGCCCCAGCCCTGGCCCACTGTGCCCCGACCGTACCAGCCACCGACCTCACTCTATTTGTAGAGGCAGGTTCAGTTAGGACCCTCACTCTACAGGTGAGGGGATCGGGGACCTGCAAGGCCCTTCCCTGTGGCCATGTGCTGGCAGAGCCAGTATTTGACCCCTTACCCCGGGGTCCTTTGTCTTCTGTCTCCCACGTGCAATTCCTTACACTCAGTTCTTGCCACCAGCTCGCTTGCCCCCCAGGATCTCAAGCTCACGGTGGTCCTGACCCTTGCTGCTTTTTACAGACACACGGGTGTATGTCACTGGATCCCCTGCACTGGGGGCTGGCAAACTTGTTCCAGAACGGGCCAGGGAGTAGATGTTCTAGGCTTGTGGGCCCAGTGGCCTCTGTCGTAACGTCCACTCTACTGCCTTAATGCGGGAGCGGCCGGGGGACAAGACATAAGCCAGGGGGTGTGGCAACTTTACTTAGGGCCATGAAAGTGTGACTTTCCTGGGCTACAAAACCTTCTTTTTATTTTTTTCCAACTATTTAAAAATGTGAAATCTGTTCTTAGCTCACAAGTTGTACAAAAAACAGGTGGCGGGGGGCACCTGGGTGGCTCAGTCGTTAAGCGTCTGCCTTCAGCTCAGGTCATGATCCCAGGGTCCTGGGATCGAGCCCCACGTCGGGCTCCCTGCTCAGCGGGGAGTCCGCTTCTCCCTCTCCCTCTGCCTGCCGCTCTGCCTACCTGTGCTCTCTCTCTGTCAAATAAATAAATAAAATCTTTAAAAAAAACCAAAAAACAAAACAGGTGGCAGGTTGGATTTGATTTACAGACCCAGTTGGCCACCCCCTGCCCTATACCAGCCCTTATTCCCATCTCATAGATGAGAAGACTGAGGCTCAGATCCTCCCAGGCCCTCTGAATCCAACTTTGGTGGGGGAGGGGGGTCCCTGAAGTTGATGCCACACCCCATCATGGTGTGACCTGGGCATGTTCTCAGCCTGAGCTGATCCCCCGGGCTTCTTGGAACTGCCCCTCTTCTGTTCCGTGTTGCTTTGAGGGGGAAACGTCTGTACTTGGAGGGAAGAGAGACTTTGCATCCTTGGGCAGCGTGCCCTGGAGCCGCCATCCCAGGCTCTGGTGCTCAGCACCTTCTCCTCCCCCAGGTGATTCCCAGGTAGCCTCTGGGCCTGCCTGGTTTGGCCAAACGGCCTGCCAGTCATGGGGCTGCCTGGCTCCTGTTCTAGCATCTGAGCTCACCCAGCTGCCTCTCTTGGAGAGGCTGGGGGGGCCCGAGGGGCTAGACGGCCTGGGTTCTGTCCTTGCTGGTCCATGTACTGGTGATCTGGGGCAAGCTCCTTCACCCGCTCTGTGCCTTAGTTTGCTCATAGGACACTGAAGGGCTTCCCCCGATGCCTGGTACAATTTGTGAAGTGCCCGAGACCAGCGAGGTTGCTCAGAGTCCGGAGCATCAGGGAATACCAGCTCAGCAGCCTCCGCCGCCTCCTTGCCCATCCGGGAATCTCAGCCATCCCCACAGGTCCCTTTATACCCTCGAGGCCACTCTCTGGAAGGACGCACTTCACAGTGGACAGATCTTGGGCTCTGGAGCCCACCCCTGCTTGCTGGCTGTGTGACTTGGATGAGTTCCTTCACCTCTCTGAGCCTCGGCCCCCAGGGATGGGAATACCTCCCTCACCTCCTGGGCACAGGAGGATTGAAGGGGACGACACACGCTGGTGGCCGCCTGGAGTCACTGCCATTCACTGGCAGCTACTCCTCGCTCAGCGGGCCCAGAAATCACTCTCGTCCACAGACTGCCCGTTTCTGAGCACCCACAAGCCTGTGAGGCTGCCCTGGCAGGCCAGCCTGAGCAGAGGATGTGGGAGCGGAACATGTAGAAACTCCCTTCCGGTACTCTCTAGAAGCAGGCAACGGTTGCCAAAGACCATTTGCGTACTTTTCCAATTGCACAAGAACCCGGCGCACGCCACTCAGGCCCTTGGCCACTGCTAGAGCGTAGTCGGTGAGGTTCTTCCAGTAAAGGGGTGACCTTTCTGTAGACTGCTTGGGGTTCAGCCTGGGTCACTTACTGGGAGGAGACCCAGCCAGGCAAGCAGGCCCAGGTAGGAATGAAAAAGCATGCCGCCGCTGTGCGAGAATCTTTCCTCTGCTGCTCTTCTGTTCTTCGCAAATTTACGCAGAGCCTCTGGTCTGTCGAGCGCTGTGGTGGAGGAGAACAGTAACGCTCCGTTATGCGGACCATCCCCTGCAGGGCTCCCTCAGGCCAGCCTGGGTCCGGGATCGCAGATCTCTAGACCTCCTGACTCAGGGGAGCCCTTGTTTGCCCCACCCTGGGTGTGAGGTAGGCCCCGGGTGGACTTACCGAGGCCAGACTTCCCTGGCTCCCGAGTCCTTGTTGTCCCTGCATTTCTCAGACCCAAGCTTTGGACCCTGGTGGCCTGGAAGAGCCATTCAGTCTAACCTCCCCATGTAGCACTTGAATCCCCGAAAGTGTTTACTCACACTTGGCTTCCATGCCACTTGTGACGGGGTGCTCATCACCACCCAGACAGCCTTTTCCTTCTTTGGACAGCTTTGGCTTCATGTTGTGCCCCAATCTGACCCACAGCAAGGCAGCTAGAGAAAATTCTCTCGAATTGAGATGGATCCAACATCAAACTGGACCCCCTGGGAGGTAGTGAGCCCTCCCTCTTAAGCCCCCTCCCCTCTCTTTGGAGGCAAAGTCAAAGCTGAGCTCCCCCTGGCAAGGATGATTGAATGTGATTATTTCCAGAGAAGGCAGAAGGGACCTCCTTATGGACAGGGGATATTCACAAGGCTTAGGACTGCCTTTTACCCTTGGAGGAAGAGGAAGGGGTGAAGCCTACCCCTCAGCCCTCCTTCCCTCTGCTCTGTGGTCTGCTCCCCCTGTCCCCTCCCGCATAGGGCCTGTGGGAACAGGACTGGACCCTGTGCCTGCTTCCCTGCCCCCAAGACCAGCTGTCCCATGCAGCTGTCCTGGCCCCAGCTGCCCGGCACGGGTCCTGTCACCCCGCAGGGCCTGAGAGCTGGCTGCTGTCATTCCTGGATTGTATGGCTTTGGGGAGGGGGTGAAGGCAGCCAGCTTCCCTCTTCCTCCCTGAGTCCTGCCCCTGGCCTGGGGTCCATCAGTGTGGAGAGACACACCAGTGTGCTCCAGCATGGTTTGCTCTGTTTCAAAAGCACGAGTGTATCACCCAGAATGACAGTGAAAAATTGGCAACAGCAGTGTGTCTAATCATAGAGTATTGATTACATGTGTTGTGATACATCTGTATCTGGGACACTAACCCTAGGATCCTTGGGGGCTCCTGAATGGGCTTAATGGGGCCTCTGAACCCCCAGAAATTATATGTAAAATGCTGCCTATACATGAATTTTCCGGAGGAATCCGACCCTCCAAAATGTAAAACGATCTACAGTGTGGAATCGTATGCAACATGTAAAGTTATGTTGTAGAGCATTTTACCAGCATACACAGAGAGTATATTGTCGAATGAAAAAAAGCAGGTTACAAATCACTCTATATAGTAAGAGCCCAGTTTTGTTTAAAACCATCTGTGAAACACACATGCTGCAAGTTTAGCTACTAAAATGATGACAGTTTTTATCTCTGGGGTGAGAGAAAAAATTTTTTTAATTAGTGTTGTTCTGTTGAATGTTCTATTCGTTCGCTGCTCGACAATGCATACTTGTTCCCTTTGTGAGGCGATGGTGCAGGGAGCACTCGGTCCCTTTTCTGAGAGGCTAGAACTCTCTTTCTCCCCCAGCAGCCCCCTGGCCCCAGGGCTGCAGATCTGTGCCACAAGCTACTGTCTCACCTCTGGGGCTCCAGCAGTCACCTGCTAACGTCCTGGCCACCTGACTTTGACCAGCATCCATCTGGGTATTTCCAAAGCCCGTGAGGGTCTTATGTCATTTCCCTGCAGGCCCTGCCTGGTCGAGGGGCCAGTCCAGACTCCAACTGTCAAACATCAAACAACTGAGATGGCCTGTAGGCCTACACTTCCTAGCTGTGTGGCTTTGGGCCAGTCATCTAACCTCTCTGGGCCTCAGGGTGCCATAAAATGGGACCTCATGTTAGTACCTCCCCCGGGATTGCTGTGAGGATGTGCTGGGATGATTTGGGGCCAGTAGGTCACTGACTGCCTGTCAGCTTTGTTCCCCTTTCCTCTTGGCCTTGACCTACCTGCCTTCTCTCTTTCTGCCAGGGAGCTCCAGGACCGGCAGGATGGGGTCAGCCTGTATCAAAGTCACCAAATACTTTCTCTTCCTCTTCAACTTGCTCTTCTTTGTAAGTATGACCAGCACCAGCCAACCGCCTCCCACGGAGACTCTTCCCTGGGGCAGCGCAGCTGAGACCCTCCAGAGACTCCAGGCCAGGGATGGGGTGGGGCGGGCGCTCAGTGGGGGCTGAGGATGGACCATTGGGAATGGAACCATGTGGGGCCAGCCAGGAGATTGCCTGCATTCCAGCTGGTTCTGTGGCGGAGCACTGATGCTTCTCCCTCCCAGCTGTCCCCTCTCCTGGGGTCCTGAGGTCTGGGCCAGTCAGGGTTGGAGGTGGGCATGGGTGGGGAAGAGCCCCCAGGGTGTTCCCTAACTCATCAGTAGGGAGTTCTCTGAAATCTTTCTCACGATGTGCTGGCCCCCTACCCTCCTGTGCCCGCTCTGAAGGTCTTGCTGTTACAGCTGCCCCCCCCCAACCCGCACCCCCACTGTGGGGGATGTACCCACACACCCCAGAGGGTGTGCAAGAGAGGCAGGCTTGGGGCCAGAGTGGGGACATGGTCCCCCTTCTCCAGACACACCCCGGCAGGCCCCACCTCGGGTCCCTGAGCCATGGGGCTGCCCAGATGTAAGCCCGGTGCACATCTGGAGCTGGTTTTCCTGGGGCCTCAATTTTCCTCTCGGGCCTGGCACTGACTGACTCCTCTTGCTTAGAGTTGCCAGGATGATGGTGTGTGTGTGTGTGTGTGTGTGTGCGCGCGTGTGTGTGTGTGGTTGTGTATGTGAGTGAGAGAGAGTGTGTGTGTGTATATGTGTATGAGTGTGTGTGTGTGATGGGGTGGGGGGAGAGTGTGATGCATGTGTGAATGTGCATGTATGTGAATGTGTGTGCATGAGTGTGTGTTATGGGGCAAGGGGAGAGTGTGATGTGTGTATGAGTGTGTGAATGTGCGTATGCATGAGTGTGTATGTGATGGGACAGGAGTGTTACGTGTGTGTAATGTGTGTGTGAGTATGTATGTGTGTGTGCATGAATGTGTGTGATGGGGCAGGGGGAGTGTGTGTGCATGAGCGTGTGTATGTGTAACTATGTGAGCGTGCACGTGTGCGTGCATGAGTGTGTGATGGGGCAGGGGAGTGTGTGTGAGTGTGCATGTGTATGAATGTGTGTGTGCATGAGTGTGTGATGGGGCAGGGGGAGTGTGTGATACGTGGGTGAATGTGCCCGTGTGTGTGTGTGTGTGTGTGTACGTGATGGGGCAGGGGGAGCGTGTGTGCATGTGTGAGTGTGCCCGTGTGTATATGTGTGTGTGTGTGTGATGGGGCAGGGTGAGAGGCCTTCCTAGGTGCAGGGAAGTGCTCAGGGCTGTGTCTCCTCTGTGTTGCTGGTTCACCCTCTACTGTTCAAAAGTCAGGTTGAAAAATAAAGATGTTTATTATGATCCAATTTTATTTTTAAAAAGTGCACACATACATGAGTATTTTTGAGAGGAGAAGAAAATGCCTCTGAATGTTCATTTTGGGATTCCTGAGAATTTGGGTTTTATTCTTTATGCTTTTCTGCATTTTCCAAATTTTCTACAACGGACACGGATTACTGGGGAAGAGACGTTTTACATTACAAGTTACATGGGATTGTAGACAGTTTGGGAAATAATCATTCTAGATTCCCCCTCTTAACTGTACCCCGACACACAGATACAAGTGTGTTCCTGGCACACGCAAACACACACATGCGTGCGGACCGCTCGGGTGCCGCCTGCCCTGCCATTGTCCACCCTGGCTCTAGCCCTGGCCCCCTCCTCAAGGATGGTGCTGAGGCCTTGCTGTGGCTCTCCATGTCCTCCACGGATGGCAGCTAGGTCTGGAAGCTACCTGGGGCAGGGCCTGGGTACCTGGGCTTCCCCAGCTAGGACAGGTCCCTCCTGGCTGGACCAGGGCTCTGGAAAACAGTTGGCCACACAGCCGGAGCCCAGCCTTCCCTGGCAAGTGCTTGGCTCCTGGGCCTCAGCCTGGCTTCCAGGGCCAGCTGGCCAGGACTGGGGAACAGGAGGGTCACGGTGCTGTGCTTCTATCTCTGGGGACCCTAGGGATTGGAGAGAGGGGCGTGGGCGACAGCCTAAGAGGTGAGGGGGCTTGCAGTCTAGCGGCCCAGACAGCCCACACACCCCATGCCGCGGGAGGGAGGGGGTGGAGACTTCGTGGAGAAAGGAAACAGGGTTGATGGTTTTGGCCACAGGAAAGGAAACAGGGTTGATGGTTTTGGTCCCTTCTCTTCCAGCTCCTTGCCTGCCCGGTGGAGCCAGAGACTGGAAAAGCTTGTCTCCGGCCAGAGCTTTGGGGGCTGGCGGGAGTCCCGTGTTAACCCTCTCTGTGCTGGGGCAGAGATGGCCCATCAGGATGTGGGGAGGGCTGGGCAGGGAGAGGGGGAGCTTTTTATCATAGGAGGGTGAGGGGACAGGAGAGACTTCCAGGGACAGTGAACATTGTTTCGTCCACTCATTCACTCATCACTCATTCACCAAGTGGGTATTTGACACCTCTGTATGCAGACCCTGGTTGCGGGTGCCAGGCAGACACTCACTGGCAGGAGAGCCATGGTTTCTGCACTGGGGGCTCTGTTCTGGGGGGTGGTGGGCTCCAGTCAAGTACTATTCAAATGGATGATAAAAAGGCAGCTGTTCAGGGTGCTGGGCGTGAAGGTTACAGTCCCCAGGAGAGCAGATAATAAGGCCCCTGATCTTGTGGGGATGGTCAGCGGAAGCTACCTGGAGTTAGATGAGGTGGGTGGGGAGAGGAGTTCTGGGAGAAGCAGCAAAGTCCAGTGTGGGGAGTGGGGCAGAGTGTGGGGCTCTGGGGTGCCGGCTGTGCCGGCCTTCCAGGAAGGATCCTGCTCTCTGTTTTATGCACATCGGGATGCGGTTATACGATCAGACTTGTGGTTTGGAAAGTTCGCTCTGGCCGCCGTGTGTGCTTGCATATGCACACACATACACGTGTACATCCTTGCTTGCACCCCCTCCTGGCCCCAAACTCCCCAGAAAATTGCCTTGTCAGCTTTTCTGAGGTTCACAGAAACCCAGGAGCTGCTGATGCTGTGCTGTTCCAGGGGAAGGACGCTGGTGTGAGGGTCCCGGCTCCCGGCTGAGCCCTGTCAGGAGATTCTGGTGGAGCTGGGGGGGTGGTTCGTGGTGGTGGTGGTGGGGGGTGCCCCATGGTTCCAGTCGTGGTTCACCGAGAAAGAGGGGGCCACAGTGCCTCCCCCGTTCTGGCTGGCCGCCTAGCTGGGCCTCTTCCTAGCTGGCCCACAGCCTCGGGGCTGGTCTAGCCACTCCAGATGGCAGTCTTTGGACATGAGACCCACAGAGGCACTCCTGGGCTGGTGCCGGGGACTTCCTTCGTGGGTGCTTAGAGGTGAGCTGAGGAGATTAGCTGGGCGGTCCCGGGGGGATTTCGATTTCCTTGGGGTTGTGTTTGCCCAGAGGGAATTTTCTGCCCTGCCCAATGAGGGCAGGAGGTGAGCCGGTCAGGGGCTCTGCCACACAGCTCTAAGGTGCGCAGGAGCAGACCATGGGCCCAATGCCTGGCCGTTGGCCAGCTGTGCCATGAGCTGCGGGCTCGGGGTGGGCAGGGCCTCAGGAATCTTTGGGAACCAAACTCCCAGGTTCTATAAAGTCCCCCTTCATCCTGGCAAGCTGTGTCGTTCTGAGGCACCCCTACCTGAGGGTGGACCCTTCCCCTCAACAGAGCCTCAGTAGCCTCCCTGTCCCAAGAAACTGGCTTTCCAGGTGAAGACCCAGGATGGGTCCCAAGTATCCTGCAGCTAGCGTGAGCCACCATCTGGCCCGGAGTAATAGTCAGATCTGGCTTCGAGCCCCTGAAGGATGGAATGGGTGACCTTCGGCGAGGTCAGGGCCTCTGTGTCCCCATCTGTAACATGAGGACAATAACAGGGCCCACTGGCAAGGAGGGAGGAGGGGACAGGTGGCCTGCTGGGAGACACTGGGGAAGAATGTAGGGTCATCAGCAGCTGCTGTTGTCTTTAAGGGGGACCAGACTAGGGTAGGGTGAGTGAGGTCCTCGCTTGGGAATGAGAAACAGCATTGCAATGTGCCCTATCCAGGCTCTGCTCCTTTTTAAAAGGAAAAAAATCACAATACTCATCCCACCTTTATTGAAAAGTTTGATACTTTGTTCATCATGGATTTTTAAAATTAATTTTGGTTTTTAAAAAATCATTGCTGTAAATTCTTATTTATCTTGGTTACTGAGTTTTTTCATGTCCCCTTAATTTTTATGCTCAAGGCAAGCGCCCTGTTCGCCTTACTCTGGGCCTTACTCTGGGCCCAGTAGAGCAAGGCTGATTGAGCCCCTTGCTCTACCCCACGCTGAAGGCTTTATCAGCAGCTGCTTGCCTTGCAGAGTAGGGGATGATGGCTGAAGTGGGAACCCAGGGCCCATGATAGAGGTGGGTGGTGACATGTTAGGACTCTCAAGGTGGCTTATTTTCTCAGGTGGGCTCAGGCCAGGCCCCAGGTGAAGGTCAGTGTTGTGGGATGTGGGTCTTGGCTGGGTTCCAGTTGGGGAGATGGGCTCAGGCTAGGGGCCTTGCAGATGATGGGAGGGGGAAGGAAGCAGGGAATCCCTGGGCCTACCCCAGCCACTTGCCCCACATCTGCCTTTCTGTTCCTGCTTTTCCAGTGGGTTCCTGAGCTCATTCGTTTCCTGAACACTCCACCCCTGTGCTATAGGCCCCCCGGGCATATGGAGCTTCTTGCAACCCAGCCCTTGCCCTCAGGGAGCTTGCAGTCCAGCCAGAGAGAGACACACAGTATATTAAAGCCCGTGGGAATGGCTATTAAGGAGGGTCCAAGGGTGGTTGCCACCTTAGTCTGCCTGGGGGAGTCAGGAGGGCTCCCGTGGAAGGTGGCCTCTGAGCTGAGCTCTGAAGGGCAAGTGGGCTTTGATGTTCACGTCCATGCGGGATTTTTCCCAGAGCTTGTTTGGGATGTCCTCAGCCACTGAGCTGGGCTAGAGTGGAGGCGATGAGCATGGGAGAGGGCTAGGAGGTAAAGTCGGAGGGTACCCCTGGAAGGAGGCTGTACCCCTCAAAGCTAATAGGCTTGGTTTGACCACATGTGGGCATGGGGTAGGGGAGGTGGGAGGCAGAAAGGACTCCCCACACATGGCCCTGCTGTCAGGACTTGGGGTGTGGGGCCTGAGGATGGAGGTGGTGCATGCCGCCGGGTCCTCCTGGCCTGGTTGCAGGGGCAGCTGGGCAGGGCCCTCTCAGGCCCCCATTGACTGTGCCTTCTCTTTCCAGATCCTAGGCGCGGTGATCCTGGGTTTCGGGGTGTGGATCCTGGCTGACAAGAGCAGTTTCATCTCTGTGCTACGTAAGGGTCCCTCCAATCTCCCTGCCCGGGTGGCTCTGGAGCGGTGAGACCAGGGCAACGGGCAGGGCTGCTCCACAAGAACTTGAACCTCACAGCGGGTCACTTTTCAGCTGCCCTCAGGGCCTCACCCAGGTCCTGTGCTGACCACTCTGCCCTGGGCCCCCTCTGCAGGGGTTTTCGGGAGGAATTTTCTCTTCCTCCCCACACAAAGCTGCTGTTGTCTGGAGAACGCTGGGGGTTGAGGGAGGCTTGCTCTCCCAGCCCGGCCCCTTTCCCTCAGCCCTAACCTCGAGAAAGCCTCTTACGGTCTCTGTCCCTCCATTTGCGAGCTCAGCAAGATGTGGGCCACAGTCCGGCCCCGGTCAGTTCAGAGAAATGTAGGAAAGGGCGGGAAAGACAGGTCGTCAGGAGTCAATGACGTGCCCACTGTGTGCCCAGCGCCGGCTAGATTGGTCGGGCCTCTGGACTGCAGAGGAAGACACCGGACGCAGCATCCGTGGTCTGTGCTCATTATGAGGCAGGCACGGGGCCAAGCATTTTGCACGTGAAAATTGCCTTAATCCCTCGATAGCCCTGTGAGGTAGGAACTGTTCTAGTCCTGCCTTACAGGTGAAGAAATGAGGCTCAGAGAAGTGATGTCCCTGGCTCACATTCACAGAGCTTCCAGTGATAGGTGGGAGACTTGAACCCCCAGAGCTTTGGTCCTAAATGCTGCCCGTGGTAGGGTGAACCACAGCATGCAAGGCCCTTCTCTCACCCTTGAAGCAGGAGGAAAGAAGCCCAAGGCACTCCTGTACAGATGAGAAGAGCCTCTCCAGGTCTACTCGCAGCCTCCTCCAGGAAGCCTGCCAGGCTTGCTGCACTGATCTCATGGATGCCCTGAGGTGGAAGGGAGGCACAGCTGAGGGCCCCAAGTAGCACAGTGATGCCGCTCCCCTCAGTGAGTGCATCCTTGGCTCACTTCCCTCCCAGCTGCTGCTGAGGCAGCAGGTTTGGACTCAGGCCCACGACAGCTGCTTGATTTGAATAAAGCGGAACCAGGCTAGGATGGGTGATGGAGAGGCCACACCTGTCACTGTGGCCCCAGGGGGCTAGGCCTCCCCTCAGACCTGAAAGGAAGCAAGGATGATCCACCCTCTGGCCACATCCGATGCAGCCTGGGGCTGTTAGCCCTGCCTCCTGCTGGGGTGGAGGGCTGCAGAATGTTCTCCCATTCTGGGGCTAGGGTCTGCATTTCCCACCCCAGCAGGATGCCCATGCTCCCCAGGCCTTTCCAACATGGGACACATCCGCTTCCGCCCTGATTAGGCCCAGGCTTCCTGCTTCCTGGCCGTGGCCCACACCCAGCAGGTACTGCGCCAGGGGGCAAAGTCTCAAGGCCCAGCTCACCCACTGTATCTCTGTCCTCTGCACCTCGCTGCAGGCCCCAGGAACCTCCTACTGCTCCTCCCGCCTCCTCCCTGTTCAGCTCGCAGACTCCCCGAGCTGCCAGAATGCAGAGGTTCCCTAGATGTGCCCAGAGTGTTTTCACAAATACAAAGGCCCCAGGCCCACCCCAAGGGGATCTGACTCCATTGGTGTGTGGGCAGGGGCCTCGAGCATCGTGGTTTTTAAAAAGCTCCCCGGGTGATTCCCAGGCAGCCAGGGTTCAGAAGCACTGATCTAGCAGAGGAAAAAGACTTGCTAAGAATTACACAGCAAGTGAGGGTCAGGGCTGGGACCCAGGGCTCCTGACCTACTACGTACGTTCCAGGCTGGTGTGACAGAGCTCTCCCCTCACCTAACTGAGTCCACACTGTGAATCCACGGGGCGAGGTGTTGCTGTGCCCATTTCACAGTGGAGGAAACCAAAGCACAGGAGGGGAGTTAACTTGTCCCAGGAAACACAGCCAGGAGGGGGAGCTGGGATATGAACAAAGGGCATGGCTCCTGAGCCCCCATACCCTGAGCCCCTGTATTGCAGGGTTTCACACTCACCACGCAGTCCTGCCTTAACCAGAGCAAGCAAGTGCCGTGGTCAGGAGCACAGACTCTGGAGCCGGGCTGCCATGGTTCGAATCATGGCTCTGCTGCCTCCTAGCTGGGTGATCATGGGCAAGTTACTTCACTTCTCTGGGCCTCTTCATCTAGAAAATGGGGATAATAATAGAATATATCTCATGAGGTTGTTGTGAGAAACGAAATGAGTTAATATAGGAAAAGTGTTTAGAACAGCTCCTACTAACTAGTCAACCCTACAGAAGTGATGAAGTTGATAATAACATCTTGAAGTGGGATTTAGTTCCATTTCACAGAGAAGGAAATAGAGGCCAGAGGATGGCTTGCCCAGGCTCAGAGCTCGTTCGCAGCAGAGCTGGGATGAGAACCCCTTTCTTGTTGCCTTCGGTCCCTTTCATCTGGGGCCACTTCTACCTTGCTGGTACCTGCCAGGCCCGGCAGGACCCAGATGTTTCTGCCGTGCACAGTGGAGGGCCAGCCCAGAATGTCCACTTGTCCCCTTCCTAAGTCAGGTTGCTCAGATTGGGGCCAGCCTGAGACCCTGGGTGCGGTCAGGGACTGGTGTCCACTAGATGTTCTGAGAAGCTGAGACCCCGCAGCTGGGCTGGCCTCCTGGGGGAGAAGCTGAGTTGGGGGGTCTCAGCCCTGGGTCTTGCCTGCGGGGCCCCCAGGTGGCCTCTTAGCCTGCCTGGGCTTCAGGGCTCTTAAGGACAAATCAGGATGTAAATCCACCCTCATGGGCCTGTTGTGGAAATGAAGCAGATGATTCGGAGAAAGGGCCTTGTTCAGGCTGGCACGCAGTGGATTCCGGACTGTGCCAAATTTCTTTTCTCTGGGAGTCGTCCCTGGGAGGAACCCAAACCCAGGAAGCTTCGAAAGAGTGGCATTGGATGGCTTCCTCCTGGCTATGCTGGTTGCTGAGAGCAGGGTGCTGAGGGCCTAGAACGAAAATGGGGGCTCAGTGCCAGGAGCCCCCCACACTCACCCCAGCAGGTCCCCGCCATGCCTGCCCAGCCTGCCTGGGGGCTCCTGTGAGGAGCTGGGTGGAGGCAGCCCTGCCCTGGCACCCTGAGAGCTGGGTGGGCTGGCCAGGGCTCTTCCTGAGTTCAGAACATTCTGTCTGTGACCAGGAAGTTGAGCTGAATCGGGCCCTCCTATCTACCCACACTTCAGCTTTGTAGTTACTGCTTAAGGGCACTGAGGCGCCCTGGGTGGCTGGGGGCGGGGTGGTGGATCTCAGCTTCTCCTAAGCCCCCCAGGGAGCCGGCCAGCGTCCTCCCTGCTGATGGCCGCTTGTACCAGCCTTGGCCATGCCCTCCTTAGGAGAGCACATTAAAATGGCAGATTCCAGGTGGTCTCCCGGGAGAGTCTGTCCAGTTGTGACGGACCCAGGAATCTACATCCCTAAGAGGTTCCCCTGATCCGCTAATGCACTCCAGGCTGCTCTCCAGCTTTCTGGAAACATCCTGTCCTGGCCGCCTCCCGGAGAGTGCAGGGGCTGTTGTGGGAGGAGTCTGCCGCCCATTGCCAGGGGGAGGCACATCTCCCCTGGCCCTTCCGGCAAATGACGGCCCTGGGTAGAGGGCATCTGGAGGTGGGTGTGAGCTGTGCTCTGTTCTGGCAGGTGATGTGCTGGGCTTTTAGGGAAATGGTGGTCAAGTGCTCTGATGGAACCCCAACCTCCACCCACGGGGGGGTGGGCTCTGTCCGCCCACGGCCCTGAAGAGGGTCTCTTGCCATCAGGCGCCTCTCTCTATGCCTCAAGCATATCACCTGTCGGACTCACACTGGCCCGATCTGTCTCGCCTTCTTCAAATACGTCAGGCTCGCTCCTTCCTCCTTGCTGTTCCCCCCTGCCAGGAATGGCTTCCCCTCACAGATCTTCACTAGGCTGCTTCTCCATTCTTGTCTCAATGTCAGGCTCAGGCTCAGGCTCAAATGTCATCTGCTCAGACCAGGCTTCCCCAACCCCCCAACCCATTCGCCACCCCATGGTCGTCTATTGGAGCCGGCCGCAGTGTCCCTGTGGCTCTCTCCACGACCAGGGGATCTGGTCATTGTGCGCTGTGTGTTATTGTCCCCACGCCCCACCCCACTGAATGGCAGCTCCTTGCTGTGGGGACCTCAGCAATCCGACTCCTGTCTCCCCAGCAGCCAGCACAGCGTCTGGTAGGGGCTGACCCCCGAGCTCTGACTCCAGGGGGAGCAGTGCTAGACCCCTGGGCCTTACCCCTGATGGTGTGCTTAACAAGGGTGAGACAGCTGGGCCGAACTAAACGCCACTCTTTCCATCCCCAGAGACCTCCTCCAGCTCGCTCAAGGTGGGGGCCTGCGTCTTCGTCGGAGTGGGAGCTGTCACCATGTTCATGGGCTTCCTGGGCTGCATTGGTGCCATCAAGGAGGTCCGCTGCCTTCTGGGGCTGGTGAGTGCCGCTGTCCAGCCAGGTGGGGCCTGCGCGCCCCCCTGGTCCCAACCGTGGGAGCTCGTGCAGAGGTGAGCGGGGTGGGGTCACCCGGGGCGGGGCGGGGGGCGGCTTGCGGCTGACTCCATGCTGCTCTGTGTCCCCAGTACTTTGCCTTCCTCCTCCTGATCCTCATCGTCCAGGTGGCCGCGGGAGCCCTCTTCTATTTCAACATGGGCAAGGTAAGCACCCTCCTGGCCCCCAGCTGGGCTGGGCTGGGCTGGGCTGGGCTGGCCCTGCAGGGCGATTGGCCCTGGGGGTAGAGGAGAGACCAGGGGCCTCTCAGCTGTCAGAGACAAACCCAGGAGGTGCCTGGCAGCCTTCTGGGCCTCTGGTCCCTGCGATCTCCTAGCGAGATGTGAGGGGGGGGGCGGTGTCTTGGGCAGAGTCGCCGTGGGCCTGAACGCAGCTCTACCCCAGCACCTTGTAGCTGTGGGGTGGTGGGCAAGCCGCTTGCCTCTCTGGGCCTGTCTCACCTTCTGCAAATGGAGGACAATAATAAATTTAACTTCCGAGGATCTGGCGAGGATTCAGTGAGATTATCTTAGTAAAACACAGCACAGTGCTTGGCATGGTAAGCGCCCCATAAATGTTGTTCTTGTTTTTATTCAAGCGCCTCAGCAAGTACTAAAGCCATGCCACTCACCTGCAGATGAGGCCCAGGGAAGAGACTGTCAATAAAAAAAATTAGTTTTGCATCACAGAGAAGGCACTTAGCTTTAAGGAATAGAAAAATCAGGCTGACTGTGGCTTAAATTCTAAAGATATTGCTGTTGATTAACAAGAAGTCCGGGCTGGAGTCAGGGACCATGCTTCTGGCTGGCTGTTCAGCATCCTCATCATGCCACTCACTGTATCACATCACTCACCTCATGGTCACAAGATGGCTGCCACAGCACCATCCACGCTGCTATAGCCAGAAGAAAGGGAAACAGGCAGTGCCAGCCCCGGCCATCCCTTTGATCAGAAAAGCAAGTCCTCCAACAGTCTTCCCCAGACTGGGTCACAGAGGCACCCCTGGCTTCAAGGGGACTCTAGAAGACACAGGCACAAGGGAGAAGGGAAGCCAGGAATAGCTGTTGGGTGAGCCAGTCGACTGTGACTGTCAAAGTTAGCACTTATGGAGCACCTACTATGTGCACACGCTATCCTCTAGAAGCTTTACACACATCATCTCATCCTTACGGCAGCCGTGCGCTGTGTTCCGTTGACAGGGAGACGGGTGTTCGGAGCGGTGTAGAACAATACCATCAGTAATACAGGAACTAGAACCCCTGGCATCCCTGTGGTTGGGTCAGCACACACCATGTACTGCTGGGTATAATGCTGGCCACTTTATTTTCATTCTTTCACTGATGCTCCCCATGCCTTCCCTCTCAGGGTAGTGTGAGAATCCGCATCGACAGGTGAGGGATGAGGGCACCACCCAGCCAGCCAGTGGCCAGGCCAGGTGAGGGCCCAGAGCTCAGCCCAGACCCACTGCACATGGCCCTTGACCCGGATGTCCCCAGGGCCCCCCGCCCTCCTCCAGTGCTACAGTTCTTATCCAACTAGGGAGACAGCTGGTGGCTAGTGGGCTCCTGCGTTTCACCACTCAAAGGTCCAGTTGCCTCATATCACTCTGAAAAGGAAAGTGAGAAAACATTACACCAACATCAACAACTAACACTTCGTGGAGCCTAGAACAAGCCCCCCACCCACTGTGGCGTACAGACTGTGCTCACTTAGTTTTTCCTCACTGTGATCCTTCAAGGTCATGGGTGTGATACCCTCATTTTCAGATGTGGAAGCCGAAGCACAGAAATGAGGCACCTTGACCAAAGGTCACACAGCTAGTAAGTGGCAGAGTGAGGATTTGAACCCGGGTAGGCCCAGGTTCATATTGGTGCAATTTCCATTGCAGTGGTTCCTACCCAAGTCTGCTTTTCTTCTTTATAATCCACACCCAGCCTGTTCCCCAGGAGAAGTGGAGCTGAGTTCCAACACAGGCACAGGGTAACTAAAATCAAAACGAGAGAGATTGGAACACACACTGGAAGAGGAAAAGCAATGTCCCTGAAGCCAGGGCACTAGATAATGGTAGCTGAGGGCTAACTTGAATGCTGAGCTTCCTGGCAGCCAAGGCAAAAGGGGAAAGAGTGGTTTCAGTAGATGAAAGGAAGCTCGCTTGGCCAACAGACAGGAAGGCAGTGTTTAAAGGAGGGAAACTCTTTTCCCAGTGAAAGGGTTGTGAGATCCGGTCTTTATTTCTGCCCTGTGGCACCTGGGGCTTCTCTGGGACCCAGTCAGTGGTACATTATAATCAGGGTGGATAAGAACTGGGCCCTGGTGAGCTGGTTTCCATGACCCAGAAGCCAGTCGACTCTGCAGGGGTCTTGGGCCGTCCACCTTCTCCCCTTCTGAGTTTCCCCATCACAGTAATAAAGACGGCGCGGCGTCCCATGGCCCCAGAGCAAGGCTTGTTTGGAGAATCAGGACTCCTGACTCCAGAGTCCAGACACTCTGTCATACCCCACGATTCCTTCCTCTGCACCCTGCTCCCCTGCCCCACCAGCCTCCGTACCTCGTGCCCTCTGGTCCCAGCCCACCTGTCCTGCAAGTGGAGGGACATTTCCTGGCTCTGCTGGGAAGGTTCTGGCAGCACTCTTTCGCCCGAGTTAGAATGAATGATTTATTTTTTCTTTCCCAGCACATTGTAAATCCCGATGGAAGACTAAACATGTTCTTGATGATGTTTATTCCTGCAGATGAGGCCCAGCTGGGGAGCTGGGCCTTGTTGAGCCTGAAGGAAAAGGCCTTCTAAAGGCAATGGGCTGTCCTTTCCCTCACTCTCCAGGCCTCCTGGACAGGTGGGAGGGACTGAGCCATTGGGGTTCCCCCCCCGTTCCCCCTCACCCGCCCGAAGTGGTCTCTGGGGATGCCATTGGTCCCTCGGCCCGAGTTCCCAGCAGCCCCTGTTCCCGGGGCAGCCACAGGGGAGGCTGGGGTCCTTGGGCAAGGCACGTGGCTTCTCAAGCCCTAGGTTCTGCGTCTATAAATTAAGGGGAAAGCCGCTGGGCCCCCACTCCCACCCAGGGTTGAAGTGAGCACAGACCTCAACGCTTTTATAAGATAGAATGGCGGCCAAGGCCTCAACTCCGGAACCAAACTGCCCATGTTGGAATCGCTGCTCTGAGGCCCTCAGCAAGTCACTCAGCCTCTCTCTACTCCACTCGCCTCACCGGTCAAACAGCGGTCATCATACAGGTCCACTCCCCTTAGCAGCAGTTCTGAAATCCAAGAGCCACTTTGGAAAAGCAAAAATGCCCTTTGCAGCTCATTCGGTGGCAAAATCAAACCCAAACAGAAGCCAGGCTATTTATGGCCTCTGTGTACCCCATTTCGGGGGCCCTCAGGAATTACGAATGGGAGAGAGTGCAGGGTGTGACCCAAACCCCAGTCCCTTTCTGAAATTGGAACATTGCTCAGCGCCAGAGCACATGGGCCCCAAGCCTGTCTTGTAGCACTGTGCTGCGGATTTAAGAGCGTCGCCCGTGGGAAGGGCCTTTGCTGGCATCATTGCAAGGGTTCACTATGACGGTCACCATCGTTAACTCCGTTAATGCTTAGGGAGGGCTCAGTAAATGGCAGCCGTTCCTATTGTCGTTGGTGTTAATATCAGTATTAGCAAGAGTTGTGGGGGCCAGGATTTGGGAGTGGAGATTCCTCTGGCTCTTTCCTCATCTGACCACGTAGCCAGCCCCTGTTCAGTGGGCACGGCCCGAGTCTGGGCTGTGTTCTAGGGTGGGCTTTGCCTCTGGTTGCTCCATGGGCTTGGACAACTTGCCCTGCCTCTTGGAGTCTCAGCTGACCTCTAGGGCCTTTCCCAGCTCTGACGCTCTGGGATTCTGGCTTGTTCTCTCCAAGCAGTGGAGAGTGGGAGAGGGTCAGGAGGAAGGAAGGGAACACACTATCTGCCGGGATGTGCTGGGCCTTGGCACACTCAACGCAGGCCCCACTGCTCACCCGCCCAACAGCCCACACCGGTGTGGCTGCTGAGGCTTCGGTGGATTACGTCAGGGGGTTGAGCAGAAGGCCTGCGGGCTGAGAGCTTGGAGGGTAAGGGGCTTGAGTGGGCTGGGTGGGGGCTGGGGGGTGGTGACTGTGGCCCAGCCACACTGCTGTGTGCCGCCCCGGGGAGGCTGGTCAGGAGCGCCGTGATGCCCTTCCCCCTCTTTCCCTTTCCTACCTAAGAAGCTCAGAAGAGCCAACGTACGGGTGGTAAGACAGGTTCCCCGAGGACAGTGCCATTCTGTGAGATGCCTGCCCCCTGTGATGGAAACTTCCTGATCCCCTGGCCTGGGTTGCTACCAGCCTTGGGGGTGGGCAGCTGGAGCCAGGACAGAGAGAAGTGACCTTTGTCTTCCCTTTTGGGAAGAAGAAGAAGTGTCCAGGCAGTCCTTCAGGAAGGGGATCATGGAGAGCAGCGGGATGGAGATGTGATTCTTTTTTTTTTTTTTTTTAAGATTTTATTTACTTATTTGAGAGAGAGCACTCACGCCAGCACAAGCAGGGGGAGCCGTAGAGGGGGAGGTAGGAGCAGGCTCCCTGCTGAGCAGGGAGCCCAGCCTGGGGCTCGATCCCAAGACTCCTGGATCATGACCTGAGTCAAAGGCAGACACTTTACCAACTGAGCTACCCAGGGGCCCCGGGATTAAGATTCTTAAGGTGCTGGTGCCTGCCTGGCTCCATGGCTCTGTGGCTCCAGGGCAGCAGAGGGTGGTGCCTGACTCAGACCCTGCCCTCAAGGAACTTACTGGAGCCTGGGGAGTTTACTTACGTACTTTGCAGTCGGCTTTCAGGAAAGAACTCAGGTGGTGCCCAGGAGTGAACACACCATGCCCTCTGCATCCACCATTGCCAAGGGCCCTCATTTCCTATCGGGATCCCCGGCTGAAGCCTCAGACCCGTTGTATCTGAATTCTGGCAAAGCACTTGGCAACATATCCTGTGGGAACCCGGGGAGAGGACAGGAAGATGTGGGTCCATTTCATTGCGGGGGGGGGGCATCTCGTTCTCGAGGGCAATTTGATGCATTAGAATAAAGAGCCTGGAGAGAGGTCTGGACACCATCCAAAGGAGTGGTCGGAGGAGCCAGAGAGGAGGGGGAGAAGGGAGAAGGGCTGGAATATCCAAATGGTTTGTCCTGGGAGAGTGATCTGATGTGTCCCGCACGGTCCCATCAGAGACTTGGAAGGGAGCGGGGAGGAGGAGAACTCAAGCTAATGGGCAGAAGTCACTTGAGCTCCACTTAAAATGAATTACTTGTATCAAGAGCCTCCCCGCCCCTGCAATGTGCCATTCTGTGGGGTCCTGAGTTCCCCATACAGGGAGCATATAAGCAGAGCCCGGGAAAATCTGGGAAGGGCCCTTACATTTGGATGATATGCTAGATTCAGAGGTCTCTTCTAATCCTGCCTCTCTGTGAAAAGTTGCACTGCAAGGTGAAATGAAAGCACAGCGTCGTGGTAGTGGGGAGCCGCCCCGGAGGACAGTGGGATCTGGGGTCGGGGGGAGACACTGGGTGATTGGCTGTTGTTGAGATCTCAGGCTTCTGGGACTGCACGCATCAGGGTTACAAGTCCTGTCTCTGCTGCCTGCTAGCTGTGTGATCTTGGCAAGTCGTGCCGACACTCTGAACCCATTTTCTCTTCTGGGAAATGGGGAAGATGGGACCCGGCAGCGCTCCAGGGCTGTCCCCCTAGGCGTGTGACCCCAGCAGTTACACAGGACCCTCCACTTCAAAGGGTCTGTGCTTGGATTCTTGGACACTCAGCTGGATCCACATTTCCAAAGGCTGCCCCGGGGACCCTGTCCCTCTCCGTTCCTTGCTCCTGCTCTCCTCCGTTGGCTCCCTTCTCAGGCGGGCAATCCCCAGCGGAGCCTGAGGCGGCCACCAGCAGCATAGGCCCTCATCCTGGCCGGCTGCGCGGAAAGAGGTTACCTTGGGTGACATGCCCAGGGTGGGGAAGGCACCCAGCGACAGCCTAGGACTTGCCCGGGGCAGTGAGGGGGCAGGGCTTCCCAGGCTCCTGGAGGGATTGAGGGGTGGTTACCCCTAAGGAAAGGAAGTGCTGTTCCAAGGAGGGAGACTCCCGGCCCACAGAGCAGGCAGAAACCACAGAGGTGGCCCCTGCAGGGATGAAGTGAGAGAGTGGGCATCTTCCCCCTTCCCCTCCCTGCTCTTTCTTATTTCAGGAACTACCTGGTTGTCAGGGTGACCTCCCTGAGCTCCCAGCAGGGCTTCCTGGGCATGGGGATCCCAAGGGATCAGCTCCGAGTGGAACCAGCCCCTGCCGCTGTGGTCCCTGTGGCCCCGGCTAGGTCTCTCAGCTACAGTCTGGGCTGCAGGGTGATGTGGTGTTTCCATGGAAACCACCCAGCCTCAGTGGAAACCCCCGGCTTCCATCACTTTTCTCATTTCAGGGGGCCTGAAATAGGGAAGTCTGGGCTGCTGTGGCAACCACGCTGGGGTATAAATAGAGACTAGGTCCGTGGCGGGGGGTTGGGGGGGGGGGGGGGGGGGAGGGGGGCAGGTAGGACAGCTGTGGGAGAGGTGGCTCTCCATGCAAATGCTTCTGGGGACGCCCCCCTCCTTTCCACGCCTCGGGGATCATCCACCCACTGGGGAGAAGGGGTGGAGCGGAGATGGTCAGAGCAGAGAGACCCAAGACCCACGGGAGCCAGCACCAGCTGTATGACAGGGGCCAGTCACTTAGCGTCTCCGGGCCTTCCTTATCACTGCTCTGACCGCCTTCAAGCCATGGCCATGTGGTTCCAATGCTGATAGAGCTTCATGGGTCAAAACTTGGGTTCTGGGTCCAAATCCCAGCTCTTCACATGTCGGCTGTGTGACCTTGGCCAACTTAGTCAACCTCTCTGGGTCTGGTTTTCTGCATCTCTAAAATGAGGGAACGAGGTAAATCCCTAGGCCCTAGGTCTGCTCTGAGGATTAAAATGAATTAATGCATGAAGAAAAGTGCTTAGCACGGCTGGTACATAACAAGTGTTTGATAAAACTTAGCCACTGTTACTGCGATTAATTGCCCGTAGGAAAGCTTTGTAAATCGTAAAGCTCTCTGTGAGTAAAACGAAGTGTACTGCGCTAGGGGTTCTCTCAAGAGGGAGGGGGCAGAGGGCAGTCCTGGGGAGTGGGGCTGGTTTCCCAGGGCCAGTGAAGGGAGAGGGCAAGGAGCCAGGGTGGCAGGTCCATCCGGAGGATGTGGGTTCTCCGAATGCTGTGTTTGTGAGCTGCCTGTGGGGAGCTGACGGAAGCCCACTCACTGTGTTGTGAGCCGGGCTCTGAAAACCCCTGCCTGGAAGTACCTGTCCTATATTCTAATTCCGCTTTCTCCGGAACTGAGGGGCAGGTTTGTGGCCATCCCCTCGGTGCCTGGGCCCCTCCCCCTGGGCTTCTGTGGTGACAGCAGGTGGCTGTGACTAGCTTATTCATGCTGGCGTGCCGGGAAGGCCCCTGAACAAGGTCCACGGGAGAGGCCAGCAGGGCCAGGCTGGGTCTGGCTCTCGGGGCGGGGCCCTCGCTCCCACCTGGGGCGTGGGGCCCTGTTCTCAGTTCTCAAGGCTGGTTTCAGGTTTGCCTCTCTTTGTATAGGTGACTTGTTCCTGAAAAGCGGCTATAGTGAGATCGTCTGTTGAGAGCCCCGCTAGGGGGACCGTTGGGGCTGAATCTTTTTGTTCCCTGCACCCCTCATCTGCCTTCTTTGTAAATCATTGTTTTCTTGGTGGGGTTAAGGAAAAGGGGGTGCTTCTCTCCCTCACCAAGGGACCCTGAATTCCCAACACAGGCAGGATTTGGATTTTGTGGGGCCGCGGGGCAGGCATGAGGATTAATCGGGAGAGTATGTGAGTACTACCCTGGTGTGGGGCGTATCGTGGTGACTCTACACCCATTCGCTATTCAGGTACACCACACGTCTACCCCGGCCAGGCTTCGCCAGATACGGTCCTTGCTCCCGTGCATCTGACATTCTGGTGGAGGGGAGAGATAATAAATCCTGAAAACGAATGAGCATGTAATGACCACGTTGCGAAGGAAAAGACAACATGCCCACCCTTGAGGGTTGAGGAGGGCCTGCGAGGGGGTGGTGGAGGGGATAGAGAGGGGGTGTGTTCTGTAGGGTGGTCCAGGAAGGCCTTTCTGAGGAGGTGACATTTAAACAGAGCCCTGAAGCAAGTGGACGAGTGAGCCATGTTAATATTTGGGGGAAGAGGATAACAGGTGATGGGAAGAGTAAGTGCAAAGGCCCTGAGGCAGGAGTGTGCCTAGCAGAAAGACAGCAAAGGAGACCTGTGTAATTGAAGCAGAAGCAGCAAAAACAGAGAAAATGAGGTTTGGGAAGAGCAAGGGCCAAACAATGCAGGGCCTTGTGGGCCATTGACAGGATGCTGGCATTCTCCCTGAGAGGGATGAGAGACCACTGGAAGGTTTGCAGCAGTGACATGCAAAGATTCACATCTAAAGGGTCCCCCCGGCGCTGAGTGCCGAATAGACTACAGCGCAGGAGTGGTTGGCCCTGCCGGCCGCGGGCTCCGTGTGGTGGCCTGCTGGGGGGCTGACACCCTGGAAGCACTAGGAGAGTAGTTGGCATGGACAGTGAAATGCTTTTGAGTGTGAGCATGTCCCCGGGATGGGGGCGGGGGAGGAGAGAGGCCATTTAAGTAGATGTGACCAAAGGTGGGGCACGGGTTTCAGGAAATTTGATCTCGACCCTTGTTCTCCCCTCTGCAGCTAAAGCAGGAGATGGGCAACATCGTGACCGAGCTCATTCAGAACTACAAGGACGGGCATGAGGACAGACTGCAGGAGGCCTGGGACTACGTGCAGGCTCAGGTACGGCGGCGGTGGCAGGGCGGGGTGGCGTGAGGGTCCTGGCCTAATGTGTCTGGGTCTGGGTGTCCATGTGCCTGACAGAATATGCCAGTGAGTTTGTATGTGAGTATGTATCTGTTGGGGGCGAGGGGCCTCTGAGTGGTCCCCCTGCCTGGTACCCCAGCTACCACCACAGTCCCTCACTCAGGGGGCCCAGGGTCTTGGAGGCTTCCAGGGGCTCAAAGAGCTCCAGTCTGTGGCTAGGGTGGGGGGCCCTCATCTCAAGCCAGGCTGGGGAGTGTCAGGAGTCCATCCTGGGGGTTAAGGAACTGGGTGCCAAGGCTGACGTGCTGACACGAGTCTTGAGTGGAGCCTACCTCTGGGAGGGTATTGACATGGGATGTGCCCATGGGAACCTTCTGGGGTGAAAGGAGTGTTCTATCCAAATCCTGATCCAATTGGCAGTTATGCTAGTAGATGTGTAAAAATTCAGCAGGCTGTGCACTTTAGTGTATGTGTTTTCCACCTCAATCCAAGTGAGAGAGACAGACTGAGTGAGTGAATGATGGAATGACTGAAGGACAGATTAAATGACTGAATGAGAATGAATGAATGCATGAATGAATGAATGATTAACTGGCAGACAAAATGGCTGGCTAACTGACTGACTGAATGAATGAATGATGGACTGACTGGCAGACAGAATGACTGACTGACTGAATGACTGACTGACTGACTGAATGAAGGAATGAATGCATGAATGATGGACTGACCAGCAGACAGAATGACTGACTGACTGAATGAATGAATGCATGAATGAATGATGGACTAACTGGCAGACAGAATGACTGGCCGACTGACTGAATGAATGAATGATGCACTGACTGGCAGACAGAATGACTGACTCATGGAATGAATGAATGAATGACAGACTAACTGAATGGATGAATGACTTTAGGAATGACTGGCAGACTGACTGACTGAATGAATGATGGAATGACTGACAGAATGACTGGCTGACTGACAGACAGACAGAATAACTGCCTGGCCCACTGGGTTCCCAGCCCTCCCTGATGGTGAACCAGTCACCAAACACACAAACGGACCCTGGGGATCAGGTCCCAGGTGCTGTGTGCCCCTGGCTGGGACCCAGCATCTCTGGGCTGCAGCGTCCTCCTGTCTCCCATGGGGCGCCGGCCACCCTGGTCCCCGGAGCCTACCTGTAGCGCCGCCTGCTGCCTAGTGGAGGGCTGTGGGGTGCAAGGGGCAGGGGTGGAGGCAGTGGGAGGACTCCATGGCACCAGGAGAGCAGGGTGTCTGGAGATGGGACTGTCCAGACCACACAGGCGCATCCATTTTCTGGGCCGTGAAGAGAGGACAGCAGTGCTTTGTGCCTCCCAATTTTTGGTGAGGACCAGCTGGGGCCATGTTGGGGGGGCCTATGTCGGCTGGGGGGCTCAGTGCACGTGGGAGGATGTTTTCCTCCACATTCAGTTTGACCCACAGATGCTGAGGTTCGGGGGACGCTCATGTCCCAGGATGAACACGTGCCTCCTTCAAGGAGCCTGGGGAGAGCTGGGTCTCTTGAGGGATGGTGCGCCCCCTACCATGAGAAGCAGTTGACTGGTTGGGGGATTTCTGCTGCAGGCAAGGTCTCTAGATCATTCTGATGTCTGTCCGATGCGGCTTGGCATGGTGGTTAAGAAAGCTGACTGAGTCAGGCCCCTGAGGGCAGGAATACCAACTCTGCCACTTCCTGAGCTGGTTTCCTCATCTAGAAAATGGGGCGATGGATCCGTGCTCGTGTGAGAGGAGTTTATGAAGCCCGTGGCACTTACGCAGAGCTTAGGTGGCATGTTGCTGTTGAGGGTTTATCGGTCACGCAGAACCACTGAGACGCAGGGCAGGTGGTGGCTGGGGACAGATCTTGGCACGAGGCAGGGTCGGGGGCTCTGCCTGGTGTGGTAGCAGGGGCCAAGGAGAGCTGTCTCCTTCTGTTGAGTGTGTGAGGGTCGGGCGGGGGGGTGCCCCTCAGCGGGGCCAGCCTCCCTGCCAGAGGAGGCAGCCTAGTATCTGCATGAGCGGGGGACGGAGGGAGGGAACCTGCCCCAGCAGCTGCCTGGAGCCCGAGAAAGCCTGAGCATGCTTGGCTCGCCCCCTGCTGGTCACCAGGCTGCCGGTCAGGGACCGGCCACCCGGAGACTGGAGGGAAGCAGGTGGGGGACCCACACACCCAGCGCAGGGGCACCCAGCCAGTCCACTTAATCCTCCCAGGGACCCTGGCAGAGTGGCTCTTGTCATCCCATTCTCCGCATGAGGAAGCCAGGGTTGGCAGCTCGCCCAGGCCCAGGGTGTGTGCCCTCTCCGACGCAGTTCCACCTTCCGCTGGGCCTTTGGAGCACAGGCTTAGCCCCTCAGATCCGAGTCCCGTCAGGGATTCAAGCCCAGATGTGATCCACAGCCCCTCAGGGTCCCCTTCGCCAGCCCCATGGACGTGCCTTCTAGCACAGGGAGCCTAGAAGGGCCTTCTTCCCCTCTGGAGCTAGAACATTTTCTCTTCCAAAAGGCAGAATTGACCATATCTCCTTTTTCGCCTTGGCAACCGGGAAGCTCAGAGCCAAATCTCAACTCCAGCATGTACACAGCACCTAAAAGTGGAGCTGGCCTTCCCCGAGCAGCCGCTGTGCTGTCCAGATCGGGGCCGGATGCTCGGCCTGCCTCGATCCGGGGAGTCCTCCTAACAGCCCTTTGAGTCAGGAACCTTGGTTACACCATTCGCAGATGAGGAGACTGAGGAAGGCACTTTAGCCAAAGTTAAGCCACTGGTAAGTGGCAAAGCTGGGATTTGAACCCATTAGCCGGACTCTAGACCTCCACACACTTTTTCTTTTTTAATTATTATTTTTTTTTAAGTAGGCTCCACATCCAACGTGGGGCTTGAACGCACGACCCAGTGATCAAGAGTTGCGTGCTCTACGGACTGAGCCCGCCAGGCGCCCCTAGACCCCACACTCTTAACTGGGTGTTGCTTGCCCTTCTTGGGCCCCACTCGGCTGTGCTCTTTCAACTTGAATGTCCCTCCTGTGCTGCTTTATATTTTTACTGCTCCTGATTTTTGGTCTCTTGCTGTTTTAATATTTACACTCTGTGTTGCCTGAAAGCCCCTTTAAATTCCCTGCGGCTCCCAGAAGCCAAAGCGAAACCTAAACTCTCATCCTGGCGGTCTGGGTGGGCCGAGGGCGGCCTGCAGGTGGCCGATCTGAGCCTGAGTCCAGGGGGACGCCACCTCCACGCGGAGGGTGGCCCGCCGGAGGGCAGTGGGCGCGACGGCTGGTCTCCTGGCAGGTGAAGTGCTGCGGCTGGGTCAGCTTCTACAACTGGACGGACAATGCGGAGCTCAGGCACCGCACCAACATCACCTACCCCTGCTCCTGCGAGGACCGGAAGGAGGCGGACGAGGGCTTCCCGGTGAGGAGGGGCTTCTGTGAGGCCTCGGACGGCAACAGCACCGACAGCGGCAACGACCCCGCGTCCTGGCCCGTGTACCGGGAGGTGCGTGGAAGGCTGTGGGGCCGGGCTGGGCCTGGGGCTCTCCGGGTTCGGGTTCTCAGGCCACCCAGGCTCCCTCCGCCCTCCCTCCTCCCTCCTCCCTCCCTCCTTCCTTCCTTCCTTCCCTCCCTCCTTCCTTCCTTC